TCCACTCCTAGGTCACTGATAGAGAAAAGAATTAGAAGTGATGTTCACACATAATAACTGACATCACTTACTGAACTGGACAGATCTTCTTCATGTCAGGCATTATATCCATATTGTCTTTAATTCTGATAACAACTCTACAAGATAGGCCTTATTATTCCTCTTATGTATGCAGAAACTAAGGTTCAGTGAATTCTTATGGTCCATCACACCAGCTTTATTCTCTTAGTGACTTTAGGGTAAAAGAGTAGCTTATCTAGGAAAGGAGGATAATTTAGAGTTGAGAAAGGTTCTTAGGCCTGAGATTTCTTTTATGTGTTTCAGCTTGAGTGAAGGAAGGTGTCTCCTTTTGAAGCTGATCTGACACTAACAGGCACCCAGTTTAACCTCCCTTACAGAAGCTAAGGCTGGCGTAATGAAGCAGTGGTGAGCTGGTGCAAGATACTGTGCTTCTGAATCCTGGTGTGCTGCTTGTTTAGGTACCATGGCTTTTCCTGCTGGGCTCCGGTAACCCTCTCAAAGATACTTCTAGTGCCCCTGCTGGTTTGCTGCGTTATGCCTTTTCTCTTTAAAGAAAGAAAAAATAAATTCAGTGCAAAAACTAATGAGTTGTATGCCAGTAAAATGACTTTTACCATTTTAAGAAAATTTAAAATTATATAAATCTATATAAAATTATATAGATTTAATATGAAACTTGAAATCTATTCAGTAGCATATACAGGTAGGTATGTGGGTGTATTAAAAAGTAAAGTTCACCTCATCTGCCTGTAGAAAATGATGCTAAACCAGAGAGCATGGATATTTAATTCACCTCAGCTATTTGTGCCTAACACTTCCAAACACTTGGAGCTAGGCAGAAGTGACATTTGACATTGTTCTTGCTCTCCAGGAATTTATATTCTTGCTGATAGAGGCTGGTCTCCTGAGTTCTAGGCCTGTGCTTTATTGTGCTTTAATGGTTTCTCATCATCCCATGTTTACAGGTATGAAAGAGCATAGCATATTCTTTATTTATCCTTCATTCTCTAACAAAGAGTTATGGAACACTTTCTATTTGCTGTCACTTTGTTAAGCAGTGTGGTTAGGGAGATAAACCCTGAAGGCATTCCCCGTGTCTGCATAGGTGATCATGTACATACAGATACAGAGAGTCACATACATACGTGTACTTCATCACATACATGCAGTGTCAGTGATAGAAGTAGCACTTAGTGTTTTGGACAGTTTGGCAGGAAAGAGCCTAATGTGAATGTGGGTTTTTGTGCAAAGCTTCCTCGTGGAAGCATCATTTGAGATAGGTTTACAATTCAAGTCAGTAATTGAATTTGGTCTTTGGCTTCTAGCTATGATGTATTCCATGGGAATAGGAATAGGCAGGGATAGGATTTACCTTCCTGCCTTAACCTACTAGAATACCAAATATATATGAAAAATGATTTTCAGACTTTGGACAATAGGTAGTAAAGGATTGTGGAGAGAGAAAGGATGAGAAGAGAAAAGGATATAAAAAAGACCCAAATTAAACTTGTAGGGATGAAAAATAATCTGTATTGAAGAATAAAGCAGACGGTATTAAACAGCAGATTAGACAGTACAGAAGAAAAGATCAGTGAATTAAAGAAATAGCAATAGAAACTATCCAAGAAGAAGCACATGGAGGAAAAGAGACTGGAAAACAAATGAACAGATTACTAGTAACATGTGGGGTGGTATCAGGAGATCTAACACATGTGTAACTGCTATCCTGAAGAAGGGGCAGGGGTAGGAAAGATTTTTGAAGAATTATTGGCAGATTTTTTTTCCAAATTTGATGAAAACTAAATCCACGCATACAAGAAGCTCAACAAAACCGTAAGTTATATTAAACAAACTATACCATGAAGAGGGACATTTCATAATGCTGAAAGAGTTCTATCAAGTAGGCGTAACAATCCTGAATATGTATGTACTTAATGAGAAAGCCTCAAAATATATAAAGCAAAAACTGATAAAACAGAAAGGATAAATACCGTATTGGCAGTTATAGTTGGCTATTTTAACATTCCTCTTTCAGTAATTGATAAAACAACTAAGCTAAAAGCCATTAAGGCTGTAGAACACTTGAACAACACCATCAGCCAATTTGACCTAATTGACATTTATAGAACACTCCACTCAACAACAAAATAAACACTCTTTTCAAGTGCACATGGGACATTTACCAAGATAAACTATATTCTGGGCCATAAAATAAGTATTAATACTTTAAAATAACTGAAATCATAGAAAGTATGTTCCCTGGCCAGAACAGAATTAAACTAGAAATTAATAACGTAAAGATATATGGAAAAACCTTCAAATCTTTGGAAATAAACATACCTCTAAATAACACCTGGATCAAAGAAAAAATCATGAAGAAAATTAGAAATCGTGTAGACCTGAATGAAAATCAAAACACAACATAGCAAAATGATGCTGCTAAAGGAATGCTGAGAGGGAAATCCATAGCTTAATTAAATGCATACATTAGAAAAGAAGAAAGATCTAAAATCAGCGACCTAAGCCTTTCCCTTAAGAAACCAGAAAAGAGCAAGTTAAACCCAAAGGAAACATGAGGAAGGTAAGAGCAGAAATCAATGAAATAGAAAACAGAAATGCAATAGGGAAAAATCAATGAACCTAAAACCAGGAGGTCAATAAAAGATCAATAAAATTGCTCAACCATTGCCAATTGATAGGGACAAAAAGTGAGAATGCACAAATTATCAGTATAAGGAATGAAAGAGTGGTATCCTTACAGAGCTTGCATTTACTAAAAGGATAATGGAACATTATGCCATAAACTGAAAAACTGTGTCCATGAAATGGACAAATTCTTGAAAAAGACAAACTACCAAAGCTCACTCAAGAAGAAATAGATAGGGGCACCTGGGTGGCTCAGTCGATAAGCATCTGCCTTCAGCTCAGGTCTTGATCCCAGGGCCCTGGGATCGAGCCCCACATCAGGCTCCCTGCTCAGCAGGAAGCCTGCTTCTCCCTCTCCCACTTCCCCTGCTTGTGTTCCCTCTCTCGCTGTGTCTCCCTCTGTCAAATAAATAAATAAAATCTTAAAAAAAAAATAGCATGAATAGCCACATTCTAATAAATATTAAGTAGTTCTACTTAATTAGCCCTAATCAATTCGACTATTTAGCGCTCTCTCTATCAAAGAAATTGACTTTTAGTTAAAAATCTTCTCCAAAGGAAAACTCCAGGCCTTGATCACTTTACTGGATAATTCTACAAACTGCTTAAGGAAGAAATAATGCCAATCTACATAAATTCTCTCAGAATATAGAAAAGGAGAGAATACTTCCCAGTTGACCTTGAGAGGCCAGCATACCCTATACCGATAGTTAACAAAAAATTTCAAGGGCAGGGGGTGGAAATTACAGTAAAAAAAAAAAAAACCTGCAATATATAAAAAGGGCACTATATGACCAAATTATGTTTATCTCAGGAATTACGGTTAGTTTAACATTTGAAAGTCAGTGTAATTCCCATATTAGTATGAATTAATAAGAAATAGAAGAACCATGTCAAAAAATGGAGAACATGTATTTAATAAAATATGACACCCATTCGTGAGTTTAAAATTCTCAGCAAACCAGGAATAGAAGGAAAATTTCTCAACCTAATAAAGGACCTTTACCAAAAAGAAAAAAATCTGTTGCTAACATACTTAATGGTGAAAAACTGAATACCTTTTCACTGAGATTGAGAATACAGGGAGAAGAGCTGCTCTCCTATAATGTTCCATTCAACATTATGCCAGAGGATGTCATTATGCAGTAAGGTAAAAACAAGAGACTAAAAGTCATATAGATTAGGAGGGAAAAAGTAATGGTGGTTACATGACTAGATACATCTATCAAGACTCATTGAATTATACACTTAAAAGTGATTAATTTTATTTTTTACATATTATGCCTCAACAAAGAAAGAACCATAAACAAATTGAACATCTACTGTTTGCCAAGTGCTGTGTTAGGAATTTGCTTAGCTCGGTGGCTGTGGGTCTTCCCTGCAGGGAGCTCACTAGTGGTAGACACGGTGTAGAAAGACTTGCGGCTCAGAGAGATGAGAGTCCTAAGAGAGAAGTACTGCTGAGGCACAGAGGAGGGAATTCTTACTAGGGGAGGCCCCACATAGTGGCTGCTTGAGTTGTAGTCTGATCAGTGAACAGGAGTCAGAAGAATGTTGAGGAGAAGGGCATTCAAAGCAAAGGCATGTGGGTGTGAAACTGCATGTTGTAGTTTATAAACGGTAAAGAGCCTCATATTGCTGGGGCCTGGCAGCTGGGAGGTTTATGTTGAAGTGGCAAGAACTGAAGCTGGATAGGTTGGCAGAAAGCTAAAAGGTGGAATGTTTCTCATATTTGCTTAAACTGATACTACAAGAGAAATTATGTACTTGAGATCGAGAAACCCTCCCTCTTGGCTGAGAGATGAGGCGATCGATGCACCTTTTCATTTCTCTTCCTTCCTTTGCTTTTTGGCTTTAAAACAAAACAGCAATAAAACCTTGCTTTTACTATCAACTGTTTCAAAATAGTAATTCTCCCTGGATAGACCTCAGCTAAATTTGTGTAACTAAGGGTGCACTTGAGCTTTCACATGTTACAAGGAAGAAGTATGTTTTAATGTTTGAGATAGCTTTTAATACTAGCCATCTGGGAGAACTGCTGAGATGAGCCAGATATGGCTTCTGCCTTCAAGCAAAGATCAGTTTCTTTGTACTGATAGGGAGAAGTACAAAATCTTCCCCATATTGCATTTTAGAAAGTAGAAAACTCCTTTTTGGGTTCAGCTTCATATATTACAAATTCTTAAACATCACTCTCTATCCTGTGAACGATGCAGGGAAATGTATATATGTGTATGTGTGGTGGGAGTGAGTACCCAGGATTTTGATGGAAGAATAGAACAGCTGATTTTGAGGGCTTGCTCTAAAATCAGATACTTTCTTGTGTATTACAGGCAATGGATTTTGAAGGCTGGGCTGACACCCTCTTTCTTCTGCAGTTCACCCTCTCTTGTGTGATGGGGTAAGCCTTTGTTGCCTTATTAGCAGACTGTTTTCCTAGAGAAGTTTGTTCTGGGGTCCTTTTGCTTCATTTCTAAGTATCCTGTTCTGTCTCTTGAGTATATCAGTATAGGGTAATTAAACTTCCAGATTCAGGTGGTTTCACAGCCCTTGGAAATGTGCCCTTAGGGCTACTAAACTAATTACAAAGTCATCTTTCAAAGGATGGAGACAAGTAACTATTTGCCCAGTAACCTGGTATGTGATAAGCACCATTATATTTCAGAATGCATTCTTTTATTTCTACATTGACCATTTGACACATATTTTTGTCCTCTTACCTGTGAGGAAGCAGGCCCAGAACTCAAGTCAGCTGTCTAAGTTTGCACAGTCCGCAGTGGCAGCCTTTGAATTTGGGGCTGTCTGACTCTCTCTACCAGATTGTCTTCCTCTTAGAAGAGTATATGTGGAAGGCAGGATGGTATCTGCTAATGTGCCTCTTCTCTTCGCTTTTGTATTTCCCTAAGGAATTATTTTCCTGAGCTGGTCAGTTTGGTTGGTGTTTATGACTAGATCTGGCGCAGGCTAGGTGCCCAGTGAGGGAGTGCTTCAAAGTAAAATTACCATGGTGCCTTGGTACTGAGTCAGGCTCAGAAGCCTCATTGTAAATCTGCCCATTCCAACTGCTGCCACTTACTTGTTAAGTGAACCTATATCCCTTCTTAAAGTAATGCTAATTTGGGTTTCTTCCATCTTTAAGAATCTCTCTTGCCTCCTGTCCAGAGATCACATTGACCTCATGGGAGGTGCACACCTGAGCCGTGGTCTGTTAGCTCAGCTTTCTATCTGGGTTAGGTGAATTAGTGGTAATATGATCTAAGAAGAGTACCTATGATTAGAAATGGTGGTTTCAAGGTTTTGGTGAGGGTAGCTGGGGAAAACACCTGGTCAGTAAATGGACATGTGTTTCTCTTGAATGAAATTTTAAAAAAATCTAAAGCTGCAGTACAAGCAGGGGTGAGTTGGGAAAGCTCATAGTCGGTGACTACAATGTGCTAGCATGGCCAACACTGTTTCTTTTGGCTGGAGATTGCTATAAAGTCAGCAACCGGCTCTTACACCTCCTCCTTCTTTGTTCCAGGTTTATCTTGATGTACGCCACAGTACTCTGCACGCAGTATAATTCTGCTCTTACAACTACAATAGTTGGCTGTATTAAAGTGAGTTGAAAAAATACTGTTATCTTTTGGGTACCACTTTATTTAAAAATTGTTACTCTAAATCTTGCTGTGGCCTAAAATTCCATCATCCTTCTTTCCTCACAGATTGTCTTGGTTTGATGGGTTGTGGTGCTGGTTTCTAAAACGATCTTTAAGAACTCAGGGAGAGCATAATCTCCGCTTTCACGCAACTAGGCTTTGGGGAATATGGGAAAAGGAGAATGGGTTACCTTAGAGTAGAGGAAGAGGGATTAGGCTTGGTTCAGACGGGGCAGGTGACTGTGAATGGGTTACCTTAGAGTAGAGCAAGAGGGATTGGGCTTGGTTCAGACGGGGCAGGTGACTGACTTGGGAGTGATAGGCCTGTCCCTTTAACTCCCAGTGAAGACTGTTCTGTACTCTGCCTTGCTGAGTTCTGGCGGTTGTAGGAAAAGGAGGCCTGCCAGAAGTTAATCAAGGGAGTTTTCCAGTGCATGGGCCAAACCTTAAATGGCCTACTTTTAAAAGCTGTGTCTGACATTTCCAGTGATGTCATTTCCTCCTGATTCATTTTATTTGAGGGAGGCTCATTTGTCTTCAGCCAGGGGAGCCAAAGTTGACTTAAATATTGAGCTGAAGTTAGTGGCTTGAAGCCTGAGGCCTCTTTCATCTGACTTTGTGCTTCTAGTGCTTTAAGATCCAAGAGGCCATGGCATGCCTGATTTCCAAATGAATTAGGGTAGGCTTGCTTTCTAAAAAAGATAAGACAGAGAGCGAGGTAGGTCCTTGATCATTTGGGAAATAGAGTGCTTGCCCTTGGGACTACCTTTCTGATTCCCCATTTGTCAATAATGAGGGAAGGGTTTGCAGAACAAAGTTTTACTGCCCTGCAGTGTTTCCCTTTGCACCCCCATGGAGTGGTGTCCACCTGCCCTCACTTTAGAAACTAGATTTGGGTTAAAATTTCAGGTCTGTGACTTCAGATCATGGAATTGGAGTGTTTGGTGTAAATAGAATTCTGAATTAAGCTAGAACCAGTTAGTTGTGTGAATTCCCATGAAAGCTAGAAGCAGTTAATCTACATTCAGGCCTGGGCTTGCTAAGATAGTTTTAGCCCCTCAAATTAGCTCTCAGCTCTGTTTTGATTTTGTAAAGTAAATGCCTTTTTCAAGAGCAAAGTGAATGGCTTGTATCTTCAGAATAAGAAGAGTAAGAACATGAGAGACAGGCCAGTTGTTACCATGTTTTTGCCAAAATGGATACTGCCTGAAAGCCAGTGTTTAATTTTAATAACCTGTTTGCTTAAGATTTCGTAGGGTACTTTCTTTGTATTTATCAGTATGGGGTACAAATATAATCATGATCTTATTAAAGAAAGTCTAGTACTTTTGATATTTCATCCTCCCCACAGAGCCCTATGGACTTTGTCCAAAGGGATCAGTTTTATATCCAAACTCTAGATAGAGGGAAAAAAACTAGATTGATTTACAGCTGCCGTTGCTTCTCACTGTGTTGTAGTATTGCTCTCGGAGGCTCTCGAAGGCTGTCTTACATCTTCAGACAGAGGGGAGTACACCGATGCCCTTGCAGGTTCAGAGTCTCAGGGTCCACCGTGGAACTTCTTTCATTAGCCTCTCAGATACAACCCTTTTAGCTCAGTCATTGTTCCCCAAGGGGCTATCCCTAGTTCTTGTTTCTCTGAAGCATGGTGGGAACATTACTGAGGATACTTAATTAAAAATGGAAATGCCTAGGCCCACCTCTTATACACTGAATCAGAATCTCTGAAGTAGAGCCTGGAAACCATAATTTTTAACAAGGTACGCTAACATTTGAGAATTACAGTCTGAGTTTGAGGTACTAGCATCTTCTGCGCTTGCTGGTGAATTCTGCTTGGGGGCATCGCTGTCTTGTCCTAACTGATTTTGAGCAGCAGGGTTTGGGTTCTCAGTCCCTTCCCTTTCTGTAGCTCCTGGGTGCTTTATGCAGATTAACCTGCCATCTCTCTGGAGCTCTGTGTTCTAAGCCAGTCCTGTTACACGTTTTCCCAAGTTGTCTACTGACCTTGTTTAATGTTGCATGGTATTTATTTTTGCTCTTTCCCCTCAAAATACTAAGAAAATCTATTCTGAGGTAACTTGCTGTCTCCATCCTTAGACCTAGAAGAGGCTGACATAATTTCAAATGCTCTCCCAAAGGGCACTCCCATTATAAATTTGAAGTTTCTTTTTGGCTTTTCAAAAACACTGTGGCACTTTACTTCTGCTTTGTAGACCTGATCTAGGCAAGCCCAGGTTCTAAAAATGTTTGTGACATTTCCCATTCCCGACAGCTGTCACAGTGGAGAGGCAGGCGGTACCTTCTGAATGTGAGAGGAGGTTAGGGAAGAACTGAAGAGTAGCTTGAACTTCAGGAAAGTTTATTTCACCTCTCTGGCCTGAAGATAATTAAAAGGGAGCCAGATAAGCAGATGTTTACACCTGGGAGTTTAAGGGAGTCAGGAGAGGTGATTTTAAGTATGGGACTTTGAGATGACTTTTCATGTATTTTTTTAAGATACCAGGGAAGATGCCTCTAAAAACAATGTTCATGTTGGTAAACTCCCTGTCATCCCCTTTTCCTTTCTAAAGAAGAGGGAGAGTTGCTTACATGTGAGGTTTTCCTTCTTCACTTTCCCCTAACAAGTCAACAGTTACCTCAGTAGGAGGAAGAAGCATTCTTTTCTGATTGCCAAACGTGCATGAGTGTTTTCTACCCCTAGTGACAGCAGTGTTTCTCTATCTAGATTTACAGTGTTAGCCCATGCTGTGGGGCACGGGAAGTTGATTATCTGGTGATAATTGTCAGTGAACACATTTAGCTTTTGGAGGGATAGATTGAGAAGAAGTTAATGTCATTTTTTATTTCTTATTTCATACTACATTTTAGGATTGGTGGGTTTTTGTTATTGTCCGTTTATTTGATTTTGTATTTTAAGGATAGGTATTTGGGCCATTCTGTGGATGAGTTTATATGAATATTGAAAAAGCTCGGTTAAACCTGTGTTACAGCATCTTGCCGTTTTTCTTTGTAGAATATATTAGTAACTTATATTGGAATGGTCTTTGGTGGAGATTATATTTTCACATGGACAAACTTCATTGGCTTAAATATCAGGTAAGTAAAAATGTTTAAATGTAACCACTTGGACAAGTGGGATTTGGATACTTAAATAGTGTCACAGTAAGGGGCTCTTTAATTGAAAATTTGTTCATTTATTAAACAATTATTGAGCACCTACAGTGTATTATATATTTAATGTCTTCACATAATGCTTTTTAAGAAATGGAGATAAGATGGTTCCATATTTATACACAGTATTTAGGGAATCTTTTCTGGAAGTTAAACCCTTTTTACTTTTTAGCCTTCACAGAACGGTCTTTTACTCATTATGCTAGATGGCAGTACAGTGTTCTCAAGCAAATTCAGGGTAAAGAAGAGCAGCTCTGTTAGAATTGCTTTATATGTATCTGACCTTGGACATATCACTGGATTGCTTTAGTCCAGACTTTATCAGTGATGAGGGTAACTTGTATGAAAGATCCTTTTTAGTTCCAGAATGAATTGCATGGTTTTAAATACTGTATGTATGCTTAAAAATTCTCAAATTTGTTTTTGGGCCAGAACTCTATCTTGAACTCCAGCTTATATATCAACAGCCCACTTGACCTCTCTGACTGACATATCAAAAACTGAACTTCTATTTCCTCCCAAGTGTGTTCCACCCAGGGCCTATATACATCAGTTGCTGCAGACTCTACCCTTCTAGCCTCTCAGTTCAAACACTGGAATCATCCTTGACTCTTCAGTCTTCTACCCAGTGTCCAGTGCGTTAGCAAATTCTGTTGGCTCTACCTTCAAAGTAGATCCAGAGAAGAGTCACTTGTCACCTTCTGCATTGCTCCCGTCAACATCTAAGCCACCAATATTTCTTGCCTGGGTTACCGCCTAGTCTCCTCCATTTGTATGGCTAACTACTTTATGCCTCTGAATTTTTGCTCAAATGTTACCTTCCCAGGGAAGTCTACCCTGACAACCTTATTTAAAATTGCAACCTGCTCTTCCCCTTCTGATACTGCCAGACCCTTTTATTCTGCTTTTCTATTTCTCTTTTCCAGAGCTCTTAATACTATATAGTTTGCTTATTTATATTTATTGCCTATTTTCTGTCTCTCTTGCTGGAATGTAAGTTCCATGGGGGCAGGGATCTCTGCCTGTGTTGTTATTTCCCAAGCTCCTAGAATGAATCCAGCTATTGCTTAATAAGTATTTGTTTGATGGGGGGTGCCTCAGTGGCTCAGTTGGTTAGGCATCTGCCTTCGGCTCAGGTCATGATTCCAGGGTTCTGGGATCGAGCCCTGTATTGGGCTCCCTACTCAGCAGGAGCCTCTGCCTCTGCTGCTCCCCCTGCTTGTGCTCTCTCTCTGACAAATAAATAAATAAAATCTTAAAAAAAAAAAAGTGATGAATTCTGTATGGATTGGTGAAAAAACACTTGGGAAACTATAAAATAGCCCTCTACTAGAATATTGGTATGTCATCTCCTTAACTTGAAGCAAATTATATAACCTCTCTGGGCTTTATTGCTTCAAAGGTAAACAAGTGATGATAATACCTCTTCTACCTTCTCTATGGATCAGTATGAGAATTCAAGACTAATATTGGTAATAGGTTAGTAACTCATTGTTGCCCCTTCCCTGACATTTATTTGCAAGTATAGTTTAGAGGAAAAGTCATTTGTTATTTGTGGGGTGGAGTTGGGGGGTGGTAGGTGTAATGTGTACCTGAGGATCGCATATTTTAGAAGGAAGATGAGTAAGTAGTTCAGTCTCAGACCTTGTTTGGAGTTGCAGCTCTGATGCTTGCTATGTGACTTTGAGTGAGTTGTTTATCTTTTTGAGCTTCAGTTTTCTTGTGTGTTGGGGATGAAAATATCCATATCTCTTTAGAGTTGTTAGAATGAAATAATCTAATATAAAGTACCTAATTTACTGCTTGACATCTGTGCTGAGTAAATATCGTTTCTTTCATTAATATTTGTGAGAAAGGGCTAGGATATAAGGAGCAACCTGGTGGAACAGTTTTGACTTTGTGACCTCTCTTTCATTCACTTCTAAAAATTTGGATTAAAGAATCATTATGGCACCATATAGACCTGACTCAGAGGTGCCTTGATGTTCTTTTTGTTCCCTTCCAATAAATAACTGTATAGCCAAAATGAAGTAAAAAGCTTCTGTTTGCATTTTTAGATCTCTGCAGTGCAAATCTCTTATAACAAAGTTCTTATAAGAAAGCTTTTAGGTATCTTTTCACATTGCAGGCTATTTTAAAAAACTTTTAAAGTGTGAGAATGTTGGAATGTTATGAAGTATATCAGTCTAACATATACCAAATCCAACATCTTGAAAATTCTTCCAGTAGAATTTCTTTTTGTGTCAGGTAGTGCATTTTAGTTCTGGATAAACAGTCCCATTTTGCTAGCAAGGTTACTTGGTAGTGATAATTATGATAATGACTGTTGTTGGTACTCTGTCCCTAGGTAGTATTTTTAATAATTTCTAATTGCTTTCACATTTTTATTGTAATAAATTTTACATATCCTATTGCTTTACTCTCTTTTATTACAAGGCTGGGGAGAATAATTGATGTACTTAACCAGCCAAGTTAGTTGCAGAGTTCGGATTAAAATCCAGGTGAATTTCTTTTCGAGTACTATTTCCATTACAGTGTGCTTTTCAGCTTTGGTAGAGGAGTGTATATATTACCTAATTTTTTTCACTTTCTCTCTTTAAAATGAAAATTATGGTTTTATTACTTATATTTTTTGACTTCTTTTACTAGTTGGTAAGCAGACTCACAGGTTGTGGACATTCCTTTTTTTTTTTAAAGATTTTATTTTTTATCTATTTGACAGAGACAGAGAATGCGACGAGAGAGGGAACACAAGCAGGCGGAGTGGGAGAGGGAGAAGCAGGCTTCCCGCTGAGCAGGGAGCCCGATGCGGGGCTTGATCCCAGGACCCTGGGATCATGACCTGAGCCAAAGGCAGACACTTAATGACTAAGCCACCCAGGCGCCCCCCCCCTTTTTTTTAATGTAAAAACCAAACTTAAAGTGGCTATCATATTTCACTTTGATTAGAAATGGTGTCAGTGCATCTTTGGCTGACTGTACTTTGAAGGAAATCACTAATTAAACCCTGTTCTTAAAAGAATCTATGATTAGGGGTGCCTGGGTGGTTTAGTCAGTTAAGCATCTGACTCTTGACCTCAGCTCAGGTCTTGATCTCAGGGTCATGAGTTTAGGCCCCATATTGGGCTCCACCTTGGGTGTGAAGCCTACTTAAAAAAAAAAAAAATTCTGTGATTAGACCCAGATACATCTAGCTTCCCTATACCCTGCCTTATTTCTTTGTTGTTTTAAGAAAAGTTTAAATAGCCCTCTCTCTCTTGTGATTCAAGTGCAGGAAGCAGGAGGCTTGCACTGGTAGCTACTCAGGCTTTATCCACATTGATTCTGTGATTTAGGAGGCATTTTTTTTTTCAGTAGGGCTCTGTTGAGAGCCTGGCTGTCTTCAGCTCTTCTAAATTCCTTTTTCCAGTAGCCACTTAGTGAGTGCTCACCCAAACCCCAAAAGGCAACAAACGAGAGTAGGAAATGGTAAGCGAAGGGTAGTGACAAGAGCCTGCTTCTGTACTTTGATCAATTGGTGGACTTGGCCTGTGCCTTTGGCCTAAGTAATGTAGCCTTTCCAGATAATGACATCATCATCCTCATAACTGCCCAGGCTAGAATTCCTAGAATCTCTGGGACTCATCTTCATCTGTGATTCTTTTTTTTCCCTCCATTAAAAAAATAATAATATATAATTTAAATACAGTTGGATTCACCCCTTTTCATGTACAGTTCTGTGAGTTTTGACAAATGCATACAGTCATGTAACTACCACCGCCACGTTCATGATATAAAACAGTTGTATTGCCTCTAAAATCTTCCCATGTCCCTATGCATTGAACCTCTCCCTCTCTGCTCAGCCCCTGTTTTCTATCAATAAAATGTCCAGAATGTCATGGAATGGTAGCTTTTGGTTTGACTTATTTCACTTAACATACTGCATTTGAGATTCATGTCGCATTCTGAGATTCTGTTATGGATATATCACAGTTTGTTTATCCATTCACCAATTGAAAGACGTTTGGGTAGTTTCCAGTTTTTAGCTGTTTTATATTAGCTGTTGAAACACTTGCATAAAAGTTTGTGAACATAAGTTTTCATTTCACTTGGGTAAATACCTAGGAGTGGAATTCCTGGGTTGTCTGGTAAGTATATGTTTAACTTCATAAGAAATTGCCAAACTTTTTTCGAAAATGTCTGTACCGTTTTTCATAGCTCTCAGCCACATATGATGCTCTATGATGGTTGCTGCACATCCCAGCCCTTGGTTTTGTCAGTTCTTGTTTTTTAAATTCTAGACATTCTAATAGATCTATAGTGGTATCTCATTGTGGGTTTTTTTTTTTTTTAAGATTTATTGGAGAGAAAGAGTCGGGGGGGGTGGACAGAGGGAGAGAAAAACTTAGGCAGACTATGTGCTGAGCGTGGATCCCTATGTGGGGCTTGAACTCACAACCCTGACATCACTTTCTGAGCTGAAACCAAGAGTCAACAGTTAACCGACTGCGCCACCCAGGCGCCCCTCGTTTGGGTTTTTTAATTTCCACAATGATTCATGATGTTGAACATCTTTTCACATGCTTATTTGCCATCTATATATATATTCTTTGGTAAAATGGCTGTTCAAATATGTTGCCCATTTTTTAAAAATTGGGTTATGTGTTTTAAGTTTTTTTGTTTTTGTTTTTGTTTTTTTTGAAGATTTTATTTTTAAATAATCTCTACACCCAACCCGGGGCTCAAACTCATAATTCCGAAATCAAGAATCACATGCTCTACTGACTGAGCTGACAGGCGCCCCTTTGTTTCCTAAATTTTTAAGTTTTGAGAGTTCTTTATTTATTGTGGATACAAGTCCTTTATCAGATATGTGATTTACAAGTATTATTTCCCAGTCTGTAGCTTGTCTTTTCCTTTTCTTATTACACTCGTTTGAAAAGCAC